ACCATTCTATGGTTCTATGATTTTACTCTAGAAAGCAGTTACATCCACTCCTAAGGATAAGGGCAGCTCAGATTCCATGAGGCCAGAAGTCCCATTCGTTAGGTGAAGTGTCTTTCCCTTCATTACTGCCATGACAAGAAGCCTCAATGCACTGGACACAGGACTAAATACACAGCGAGAGAGAAGCACAGCTTGTAAAAATAAGGCAGAGGCATCGCTCCCATGCCAGAGAGGAGAGCGTGCAGCTGCATGGGCAATTTGTGCGGCTTAGTGTTTGCCTTCCTGCTTGCCATAGTGTTGGCCAAGTGTTGGTACAGTGCTAGCAGAAAGCAAACACGCATTAATAGCACGTAGTTAGCATATTTTCTTCCATATGCCACTTTGAGATACAGCAGGTAGTGTTATCCGAAAACGAAAAAGCTAGTCCGCCTCAGGCTGCGCTCAGTGTACATGTGAAATGGAAAGGTTGTCAGCCGTAGTGGTGAATGTGGCTGTAACGAACATTTGGCAGAGTCAACTTTTCCCCCTGGCGCAAGCTCTGCTCTCAAGTCAGTCATGGCTCTGCCAGCAGTTCAAAAGGAATGTGGCAAGGGTGAGGTGTTTGGCAAAATAGAAACATACCCCCTGGTTTTAATCTATTTTTGCTTGCCCCCAGAGGGGGTTGAGCGAAGTTGCTTAGCTAGATGACTGAACAAATAAAGGGGAAAGAGAACCCTAAAAAATAGCCACCTATTTTCCACTCCAAAGCACAAGGTATGAGGCTGATCCTGTAGAGCTACAACTTGTGCTGAGTTGTACCTTAAAAACGTATTTTGCATTCAGACTCACAAATGTAGAGACCTTGGTCCATGATGCTTATTCAAGGACATGCTGGTGGCTCCAGGGGATGGTGATATGCTCGAGTGATGTCCCAGCTTTAGGGAAGACTCAAGGGCCAGACAGAAGCTGGTTTGACCCTTTGAAGAGACATCAGAGCATAGCCAGTGCTCACAACCACCCTTCACAGCCAGGATTGGAAGGCTGCACGTCTGTCACCTCTGACTAACTTAGTCCACATGATTTATCTTGACCTTCTCAAGAACAAAAAGCTCAGCTGTGAAATCCAGTGGGTATGGGTTTGTAGTTCATTAAACATCAATCTTTCCTTTAATGTCCATTGGTTTTCCTCTTACCAGAAGTGGAAGACAGGAAACCCCTGGCACCAGCACAGGAGCCTTGTGCTTTGCTGTCACAGTCCAGCTGCATCTCTGTGGGCACCCAGTGCTCCTGCATCCACACTGCTGTCTTATCCTGGCCAGCATGCCATTCTTTAACAGCCATTTCTTAACATCTGTTGAAGAGGTGATTAGCCCTTTTGATTTACAACAGAAACGTGTTGTTTACTCATGTGAGAAATTATGGATTTCCTGGTTGTGGTAGACAGGAACTCAGTGTGACTCTTCCTTGCCTTCTACCAAGCCAGTAGCTCTGACTGAATAGGTAAAAATAACAAGTTATAATCTCTTTCATTCAGCCTTGGCTGAAGACTATTTCAGAGTGCAGTGTTTCACCAGGAAGGCCAATGGCTTGCACCCTCATACCATTCTCAGGCTTAGGAAATGTAGCTGGGGCTTCCCCACTGTCACAGCCTTGCACTGTCACACCATACTGTGACCACTGGACCATGATCGAGACACGCTTACAGTGACAGCTGGCCAGATTCATGAGGTTTATTGGGACATACTTGTTTTCTCTCATCCATATCCAAACATGCAGGCAACACAGAACTGCCTGATTCTAGTTTGTTTAATTGACTTGACTGTGCATCGCTGGTTTTTGATGGCTTATTAGGTAACAACTGATTTTCCTTTGTTCAGAGGACTGAACTTTGCACAGCACATTACTGACATACTCTCAGATTTAACAGCATCATCTTATAGAACTGACTAAGGAATTTCCCACTGTGGAATTCCTTTTTTCAATACGAAAAGCTTTGTCACTCATCCAAAAATTGCAAAGAATAGTATGCAATTAGAAATAAAATCTTAGCTCTTCCCTAGTGAAACATGTTGTTACTTACAGCTATCCTCTTCCCTTTCCCAACTCTTTCGGTTTGTACAATTCGTTTAACCAGACAACTCTGGGCTGGGATTTCTCTTTTATTAGATATTTCTGCAAGTTCTCAGCCCCCGTAACTGTTCAGCACCATTTCAATCATAGGTGATGCTGTAGGCCGGCAGATTGCCTCACCCTCCTCCTTCCCCAGCCATCACTGAATTATGTGCATTTTCAGTTTCCTGGGGTTCTCGCTGTTCTGGCTCTCCCAGCTGTCTTTTCACGTGCCAAGAAATCCGGCTAACAAGACATACTGAAAGATGTTTTCCATGTTAATGTCTTACGTTACCCGTTTTAATAGCAAATCATGCAACTTAAAGAGAGGGCAGACTGCCATCAGGGTAACTCGAATCTAATACTGAAATTCTCAGCATTGCAGTAGTCTGGTATCAGTGCTATGATTCATCCTGTGCATTTGGAGGAAAAGACTTACTATTTGTCTGTGAAAAAGGAAGAAAAAAAATTAAAAAGGTAAAAGTTTAAAAATATAACTTACTTGCCCTACTGCAGTATGAACAAAAGTTATCAGGTGCAGAGAGGGGTGTACAGAAATAAAAGAAAAACGCAGATTCAACAAACCACTGCTAATGTTGGAAAGGATCATCGAGACAGCCTGTCTGGTTCAGAAAGCCCCTGCTCGGCTGGAGGTGGTCACATGGGGTACGTAGGTAAGAGGGGCGAAGGGGCCATGGGAAGAAAAAGATGTCTAAAGCGTAGGTAATCTCTGAAGTTGTAGGAAGACGTGCCTCTGGCAACGTATGCCTGAGGAATTGTTCTGTAATGGGAACATATGGAAAATCAAAGGTGGCGCTGGAGCTGGGAAGGGCAAAGGCCCCAGCCTGTCTGGGGTTTCATGTCTGGATCCTAAAAGTACAGGAGCTGAGCTATTTCCTTCTTTCTGCCTCTCCCAGGCCCTCAGAACGATGGCAACAGACAAAAAGCCAGGAGGGAGCTACTCCTACATCAGCTTGTTCAGGACACCAGTCCTGCGGAAGATCTCCCTGTGTTCTGGGGCTGTGTGGTAAGCAGTGTCACTTCACACAGGGGGTTTGTCCTGCAGTTCCCCAGCTGGATTTCCGTAATTCCCATCTCCACACACTCCTTACAGGTTTGGTGTTGCCTTCTCTTATTACGGCATGAGTTTGAACCTAACCGGCTTTGGGCTCAACATGTATCTCTCCCAGTTTGTCTTTGGCATCATTGAGATTCCAGCCAAGATGATCATGTACGTGTTGGTGAACCGAGCTGGACGACGGCAGAGTCAGGCGTGGGCACTCATCCTGACCGGACTGTGCATAGGAGCCAACGTCATCATTCCCAAGCGTGAGACACTCTTCTGCTATATGCAGTGCTTGCTAAAGGGGAGGCTTCCATGCTGTGCAGAGCTAGAGGAGAACTGTAGATCTCATCCGTGGGCAATTCTGTACAGAGATGTCCTCCACCTAAAGGGCATCTGTGGGACAAGGTTGCTAATGTGGGCTAGCCCTCACAGCTGGTGGCAACAGATGGTTTCCAGTCCCTGTGAAGTGGCTAGTAAGGGTCCAACGATAGCAAGGTGAAGCATTGTCCAATGGGAAACGTCAGGACCTATACTTTCATCAGTTCAGCTCCCACTCGGGGTAATAGATTACAAACTTACTGATCCAGACTGTGGAGACAGCAGCTCCAGGGCTATGAAGTTCCCTGTTTTGTCTGCAGGAGCACTGAACTACCTTCCTTCTTCTGAGGCCACAAGAAGCTTCTTCCTAGAAGCTGCTCTTTGTCCATTGTCGTAAATGCCTTTTTTTTTCCTCCTAGCCTTCACCTCCTTGCGCTCTGTAGTAGCCATTATGGGCAAAGGTTTCTCAGAAGCTGCATTCACTACCGTCTTCTTGTACACCTCCGAGCTCTACCCCACCGTACTGAGGTAAGAGATGCCGCTTGCCTGAGGGCACAAGCGGAGTCTGGGTGGGATGTTGCCCTCAGGTCCTCCACATCTGCACAGCAGAATGTGCTGTTGGCTCGACCGCAGGACTGATGCCTTGCCTCTAGAAAGCAGGTTCTAGGGATTATACATACTCACAAGAAAGGGACAGAAAGCCACCCCTTTTTTTACCTGGGTGATGTGTGGTTAGGTTATGTTGATAGGGAGATATATCGAAAGGTGAGGAGTATTCTGTGTGGGAAGATTTTTGAACTGCATAAGGCATCCGTGCTTAGTAAAGTCTTAGTTCCCTGTGGTAATCTGCCAATAACTGTTAAAAGACATCCCCCCAAAATAAATCATTTGAAATACCATACTTTATAAGGGACACATACTACCACGTTTGACAATCTTCTGGATACCAGTTGACATTAAAGGGATTAACTAGCCCTTCAAGAGGAAATACAGAGCTTATTTGAAATATCTGGGTAATGGTGACATAAAACCAGTTTAGCATCAACATAGTTTGGGATATAGCCGAGACTGGTGGAGGTTATCACCTCACTGGTTTCTTTGGGAAAGTCTGAGAACGCAGCAGGCCTTGTGGCTTACTCCATCTCTGTCCCTCCCTGCCCAGAGTGCCCTTCACTGCCATTCAGTCCTTTGACTTCCACTGGTCTGTGGCACGTGGGGAATGATGCGTATTTTAACCAAAGCAGGCACACTGATCTGCTACTTTTCTTGTGAGACTGGTTTTTATTTTTATGTGCTCAAAGACATTGACAGATAAAGACAAAAATGCGGGTTCCCTCTGCAGTACTTAGTCTGCGTATGCACAAGTAGGTCCCGGGATCCTTGTCAGTGTGAAATGCCGCCCATGCCCTGAAAATTAGTAAGTGGAATAGGTCCCAATTTTGGGACATCCTCTCCGAGCTCTGCTGGGCTTATAGCTACAGCAGGACCAAAGGTGCTCACAGGCATCTCTAGTGCATGCCACTGGCTAGAAGCACCTGGGCGAAGAAGGGACTTGGGTTTGCTGTGAGCAGATTGGAGGACTTACTAGGGGATGGGTAGAAAATGAACTCAGGGTTTTAGATATTTAAAGTGGAAACAACTTTAGAGTAGATATTTTTAGTGTGGAACTGCAGCTTCTGTCTCACAACAGAGGTAAATCTATTTCTCACAGCAGCTACGGTTGGTCTCTGGGCAATAATATCATTGTAGGAAGATAGGAAGAAATTAAAAAAACAACCTAGAAAAAAAAACCTGGCAGGGAAAACCTCAGCACTTACGGAAAAACAGGAGGAAGGGGCAGAGGGTCTGCACTTGTTCCCAAGTTCTGATGTGAAAGAAGAACCCATCTCTTTCTCGCGGTGGTCTGCACCGTGATGCCCTACCTTTCCAGACAGAACGGGATGGGGTACACCTCCTTCGTGGCACGCCTGGGCGGGGCTTTGGCCCCACTGGTGTTTTTGCTGGATGAGGTGTGGAAGTCTCTGCCCGAGGTGACATACTGTGGCGTAGCAGTGTGCTGCGGCTCGGTGGCCTTCCTGCTCCCGGAGACGCTCAACGTGCGCCTGCCGGAGGGCATCGAGGACATCGAGAAGGCTCGGTGAGTCAGCTCCATCCTGCCCTGCTCAGGGGGTCTGCTGAGAGAGGGGGGGATGTCCCTCTCTGCTGCCTGTCATCCCCCATCTGTGTGTGGCAGCGGATGAAGGGCCAGCCTGGTGGGGACCGAGACTGTCAGGCTTCCCGCTCCATCGGCCCAAACGTGCCTTCTTTTCTTCCAGAGCAAAAGGGCCGCCGCAAACCAGTGCTCCCGAGGGCATGCCGCTGCAGCCTCTGCTTTTTTTCAGCCACTAGGTAGTAAAGCTTCGTGTTCTGACCCATCAAGAAAAGAGCCTGCACTGCCCACTCTCTCGGCAGGGAAGTAGGGCTGAGGACACTGGAGCCAGGAGGCGGATCATGAAACCAGCTGGAGGGCGCTAACCCGCTCTGTACTGTGGCCAGGAGCAAGAACGCTGAGGTCTATCAGCGTGTGGAAATAAAGGCACCCTGTGCTAAGCTCTTCCAGTCTTTGGCCTCGTTGGACTAGCAGCGCCGTTCAGCTGACTGCACAGCCTTCCGGCAACTACAACCCCGTGCTCCACACACCACGAGAAACGCAACGAAGCGATAAAAAATAGTGAGCGTGAATCGCACAAAGCCAAATAGTCTCTAAGAAATCTAACTGGATGGCGGGTAAACCATAAACTGTAGCCACAAACATTTCTTGAATTTGGAAATGGGCTGGGCAGTTTTCACGCTGAGGCTCAAAGCCGGCGAAAAGCACACGCAGGAATCTCACTGGGGCTGGGACAACCACAACCGTTTGTCCCACATACACAAAGAAGATAAAAAGCTTTTGCAGATTATTGAAATCTAGTGTGTAGGCAATAAGTATCCTTTAATCTGAAAAAGAAAAAAAAATCAAAAAGCTAAACTCTTGCATGGAATATTGAATAATTCATTATTGGACTTCATTCTGCTTATTGCTCTAACACGCTGATCTTAAATTACAGAATGCCCTTGCCCCTTGCACTTCCTTCTGCAAAAAACAGAGATGAGCCAAATTATCTATAAATTCGGAACCCAGACAAGCAGCACTTTCCTAAATTGGGAAAAGAGAATGGCCTCAGCAGCTGATCCCCAGGCACAGCGTGATTCCCTGGGCTGCCAGGCGTAGGATGACACAAAGGCAGGATGCATCTGCGGGGGGCACGGGGAGGGAGAAGCCCACCCAATCCCAGGTCAAAGAGCGCCTCCTAGTAGAAATAAGCTGCCTGACAAAATTTTATACGTCACCTTTTTGCTTTAAGGCAACAAAAGGAAAGCAAACTTGTCAGAACCACCCTAAGGCGGAGACAATTTTGCTTATTTCTGTCTTAAAGATCGGGTCAAATAAGCTGCCAAATCCCTGGGACAAGAGTGTTCCCTGTGCACTGCCTTGGGTTCGGCAGCGGCAGAACAGAGCTAATGATCAGCCAGCTGCAACACCCTAACATTAGTAACAGACCATAATATACCTTCAGAAGGCCCACGTGCAGGGCATCTTTCCAGCGCATCCCCCTACGTGGCGGAGACACCTCGGGGTGCCGGTGCCATGAGGCAGCATCCAAGCTGTGCCAAAGGGCAGAAACGAGTAGAGCTGTGGGTTTGGTACCTCCCACTAGTTCACACTCAGTAACTGCAGGAGGCTTGACATCTTCTGACACCCCTGCAAGTACAACCGACTGTATCTGCAACGCTGTCGGCAGTTTCTGACTGGGAGCTGTACAGACTCCCCTCATCTTGGCCATCCTGCCATCGGAGGGCTGGAAGGGACGTTCATCCCTTTGCCGGCAGAGGAGCCTGAGCAGCCTAACGCCGCAGCACTTTCTTCTGGGCCATCCAGGACAGGGGGCAGACAAGCTGCGAGATTCACTTTGTCACAACCCGCCAAGTGCCAGTGCAAGAAAGCGTTCAATAAAGAAGGTAACGTTTCGCTCCAGAGCAGGAGAAGGGTGAGATTTAATGTCCCAATTTCCTCTCCATCTCTTTAGTCTTGTCAAAAGGACAACAGATGGGGTCCCAAATTAATGGGGTCGAGGGTTGGCAGTTCCCATTCCCACCCTATCCACGCAGGAGCGTTCCCACAGGCTTTTCCTCACAGACCAAGGTGTGCACAGAAAACTTACCATGGCTCACTTGGACACAGAATCACAGAATGGTTTGGGTTGGAAGGGACCTTAAAGACCATCCAGTACCAACCCCCTGCCATGGGCAGGGACACCTTCCACTAGACCAGGTTGCTCAAAGCCTCATCCAGCCTGGCCTTGAATACTTCCAGGGAGGGGGCATCCACAGCTTCTCTGGGCAACCTGTGCCAGTGCCTCACCACCCTCTCCGGGAAGAACTTCTTCCTGATATCCAATCTAAACCTCCCCACTTTCAATTTAAACCCGTTCCCCCTTGTCCTGTCACTACAGGCCCTTGTAAAAAGTCCCCCCCAGCTTCCTTGTAGCCCCTTCAGGTACTGGAAGGTGCTATAAGGTCTCCCCGGAGCCTTCTCTTCTCCCGGCTGAACAAGCCCAACTCTCTCAGCCTGTCCCCATGGCAGAGGGGCTCCAGCCCTCGGAGCATCTTCGTGGCCTCCTCTGGACTCGCTCCAACCAGTCTCTATCCTTCTGATGTTGGGGGCTCCAGAGCTGGATGCAGAACTGCAGGTGGGCTCTCACGAGAGCATGGCAAGGTTGAGACAACAATGCTTTAAAACTATTTTCATTTTCTTGGGGAGGTATTTTAAGCTCTCATTGTTCCCATTTTATATTTGGGAAAAAACATTTACCTTCAGAAAGAGTGAATGGAGCATCCCAAGTGTCATCCCAGTAACAGACTACACAATAGCGCCCCATTTTAACACCCTCCACTTCGGCATTCTGTCAGTGTTGATAAAAAATAATCTGACAGTTCTTTTTCATTTGCATGCTGTTATCGTCCATTTGGCCTCCAGTTAAGTGCTCCATATTTTTCTCAGACTATTAATAAAATCGGTGTTTTATTCTACCAGCTTAGAAACACTGGTTGTTGTCCCTGTCCATTATTCTTTCAAGGTGAAAAGCATTTCATTAAAAACATTTTGAACAATTTATCAGGAGAAAATGAGGCAGCAGCCATTTCTTAAATTAAATTTTTCTGTCCACGAATCACAAAACACCTTATGCTGCTGAAGAAAAAAAGGCAGTAACATCAGTGTGCAGGTCATGACCATTCTACCACACATCTGAGCTTCCTGCAGCAAGATAATCTTGGTCTGTTGTAAATACATCATGATTTATAGCAAGCGACATGAGTATGCAACGCTGATGTCATTCCTCATAGAGCGTCTGAGGAAAAACAGGACATTAACCAACTCACGAACTCAAAGGTTTCATATCTGACAGGTTTATTAAGACAAACCGGATTTGCAGAGGAAAATCTGGTTTCCAAGTTCTGATTTTGTGAGGTGCCTTTGGACTGCTGCAGTACGAGGAGGGCAAAAGTGATGGTTACAGACAAGGAGATGTTTTCACAAACGGCAAAACCAAACTAGGTACAATGTGTGAGAAGATAAGAACGCATCTTAAGGAAAACTAAAAGATATCAAGAAAAATGTGGTTTGAAGAGTTGGACGAGTTAAGAAGAGAAGGTCTGTTAGCCCTTCAGTCCCATAGTTTGCGTGGCTCCACGGCACACCCCTGGACACGGACAAACTAGGTCTGAGGGGGCAAAGTGGAGGAGGCAGCCTAGCCCCTTCCTCGGACGCTGCCCTCCTTCAGCAGCAGTTTATCACGCTGGTTTATCAACAACCTTCTTGAACTGAACACAGTACCTAGATGCAGTCTGACCAGCACCGCGCTGGGGGCAGCAGCCCCTTCCTTCCACCTCCTGGCTGTGACCCCGTTTGCAGGGACCCCACTGCCAGAAGGGCTCAGGGCTGTGCCTGCCAGGGGCTTCCTCACAGAGCCCCTCCAGCACCAGCCTCTGCCACTGACTTTTCCCTCCATCCTGGGAACTCCATCCTGTTGTGTCCAGCGTGCCTGGGTCCCACTGGATGGCTGCCTGCCCGCGCCTAGGCCTCAGAGGCCTGTGCCCACGGTGTG